CAGTTATATAATATAAAAATTTAAGGAAAACAAAAATATATATGCAGGGGCTAAATGTGATAATGGAATGCATTAATGAACAAAGCAGTTAATCATATTGGTCAGATGTGATTATGTAGCCCCACATGAAGCAAACAAGCCCCAGCCACCTGTAATACGGGGCCGACGATAATAGGGGTTTTTACGGGTGGGGCCGGGGAACGCACAGGCGACTAGGTCAGGTAATTGTATGGGAAAGAAAAGCTATTGGGAATGCGCGGTTGAACTTTGAGTGGCTGAGAAAAAGCTGCCCTAACCCCCTCACTAACCCTTTTTTTACCTCCAATCCTAACCCCTAACCCTAACCCCAACCCCAACAGTAATGCGTCCATCGGGTGGGGTTACATAACCACATCTTGACAAACACAGACCATCGATTCCAGGCCACAGAAACGCCAGATAGCCGCAGCTTGATTTTCTGACGAAAGCGGATGAAATAGCCGAAGCTATAAGCTATAAGAATGTGGTGGAATACTACCAAGCAAGGGGACTGCTACCGAATGCAGCAAAATACCAATGTGGGCGCCAAATCAGTCAGCAAATATTGAGGCTACACGCCGACAGATATGTTTTCCGGCGCAGCCGATGTTAAAGCAGGAAAGTTCCAAGAAAGCCCTGCTTGGACAGGTAAACCATCAAAACCGGTCAGCCCTCAAGTCTGTCAAAGGAAGTATAGTACTAACAAATGAATGGAAGGCGTACGAGCGCCTCCAATATGAAGGCCATGTACGCTTCAAGCATGTACGTATCAAGCATTCCAAACATCTGACCATACGAAAACACACCAATGCGACTTGGGCATATTGGGGCAGACTGAAACGGAAGCTGCAAGAAGAAAGACCGATGTCGGGTAGTGCAATATCGATTCACGTAGACGAGGTTCAATATCGTCTGTGATTTGGTCTCCACATTTTTGACATAAAGCAAGCGTGGAAAATATTTCTGTCGCCCGCGAAGCAACAGCCTCCCTGACAGGGATTTTAAAGGACTCCTTTCTCAAAGCAATTTAATGGCCACTTGACAGTAAATGCTTGTGCATAACCTCAAATCAATTTAACTGTTTTATTTTTAGTTATGCATGGGAGTGCGCACACGTATTCTTGAAAAAGTATATCAGTCACGGCGTACACGTTCGACAACAGAGACCATATGGAGATGTCGAGGAAACAGAGTGATTGTGTTTTAACAGAGCCAAACTAAACCAGCACGTAACCAATGACCCTTACAGCACGGGCTATAGGGTGAACAATGACACAACACAAAAAGGGTAAGTTAGCTTTTTCAATGAAGTAAGTCACGGCGTACACGTTCGACAACAGAAACCATTTGATGTCAAGGAAACTGAGCGTCAGTGTTTTAACATCCAAAAGGAGGCCTTCGGTAGCTATGAATTAGCAAACTCGACGAAGTCTGCTATATCAAATGTAGTAATTAGTTATGCATAGTAAACCCAGTGGGGTCATACAACCTACCCTTGCCGATTTGCTTAAATGGACAGTCAACCGGACTGTTAACAGATTTTTTCTCAGGCTTCCTGAGCTGGAAGGTCATTATTGTAAGTATGAGTGCAGGTTTCATCCTGTCGAAACTCCTTTCCCCAAAATATTTCATGACGACTTGAAGCCTGTAGCCAAAGCCTGTGATCGGTGATCAGACCCCATATGAGCATCTACCTAAAGTGTATGACAATGGATAATGCTAGAACGAGGAAAAGTAGAGCGGAGTGCAACAGCGAGGTAAGCACAGTGATTATGTTTCGAGCTCGGGAAGGTGCCTTATTAAGCACGATGTAAATTTAATCCATTTTTGGCCGGGAGTTCGAACTCCAGATGGGACGGACATAACTCCCTGTCAGAAAGAGGTCGACGTGTATTGTTGATGAAAGATAATCGCGAAACAGCCTGTTAGGTTATCTTTCGCCGCGCCAAGCTTCTCCCTCCGTACCTTAATGAGAACAAGTTTCTGCTCAATAGGGAAAGCCTTATGTCCGGACCTCAGGACATCAGGACGAAGACTTAAAATCCATGATGACCCCATAGAAATTCAGTACGTCTGCCGGCTACAATTCAAGACAATATCACGTTGTCAGCAGAGGAATCAGAAGGGCGTCTGTGAGTGAACAGCCTGGACACCCTTTACAAGATGGAGTTCCGTCTCCACTTGACAACCTTAAAAGTCACTGGTTCTAAATAGCTCTATGAATATGACGGCACGTGCACTCAAAAGCTGCACCGCTTCATCATCTTTCCCCTCGCACTCACATCAGGTTCGAGCGGAGAGACAGAAGCACAGTTGCCGACGGGAGAGGAGCATCTGCATGCTGTCGACTTCTTTTTCCCACTGAACAAAATTTCTCACATTCTCAGGTACAGTTGACCCTAGCGCCAACCATTTTCTTGGGCTGAGCACTATCTACGGAGCTCCTAAAGGAATGGCTTCCTCCTCGCGAGCGCAGCACAGGTTTTGTGCAGTCCGTTGCCGGCTGACGATTGTGTGTGTGTGTGTGTGTGCGCGGACTGTTCCCATTCCGGACTGATTGTTTCGCCCTCCGGTAACAATGGGAGCGCGCGTGTGCAAAAGTGGGCCGAGCTCCCACCACCCGGCTCCCCCCCCCCCCCC